GAGTCTCTGTAAGAGGCCAAAAATGTGTTCCCTTAGTTATATTTGTTTAAATATTATCTTTAAAATTATTGTTCATATGTAAATATAAAATGTATTTCTACTAGAAAGTATGAAACGGTAAACACACCTGTATAATTTTTATTGTGTATTTCTAAGGCTAACGGACGATTTGAAGTGGGCAAGAAAATCTGTTTGAGCATCTCAGGACATCATCCTGAAACTTGGCAGCCTTCATGGAGTAGTGAGTACTAGTTAATAGTGAATTTAAACCTTATAAAGTTTTATTCAGTTCATAATAATGGTTGAAAATACACTCGAGATTGAAGCTGTTTTGGGTAAATAATTTGATATTATTGAGTAAATAATAAAAATGCTTTTTCATGTGTAGATTTTCACCAGCATGTTAATGCAACTCCCCTGTTTGTATTTCTGTGAAAGCCTTTGAGTCTTTTTTTCCTCTTTTTAGAGTAAGCCCAGTTCCCTTTACAAAGCAACTTAGACTGATGGTTACTTTTTTGTTGCAGTAAGGACAGCATTACTAGCCATCATTGGGTTTATGCCGACAAAAGGAGAGGGAGCCATAGGTTCTCTGGATTACACACCTGAAGAAAGAAGAGCACTTGCCAAAAAGTAAGTGTTGCATCTCATGCTTTGTTAAGGTCTGAGTGCTAGGGCTGGGGATTTAGCTCAGTGGTACAGCGCCTGCCTGGCAAGTGCAGGGTCGTGAGTTCGATTCCTGGTACCAGAAAAAAAAACCAAAAAAAACAAAAACCCACCAAGGTCTGAGTGCTTTTGTGGGTAATGGCTGTTAGGAACCAGGCTCTCTTACTTTGACCTTGGTTCAGAATCTTATCTTATTGTTATTGTACAGATCTAATTCTGCTGATTCCCTTGGAGTTACCAGAATCTAAAAAATTTCATGAATTTTTTGGTGGGTCTTAGGGAGGGGGATTAACCCCAGGGCCTCACCGGTGCTGGGCAAGTGCTCTTCTACTGAGCTACACTCCCAACCCTGCTATCTCAATTTGTAAAAGCAGTTGATCATTTTACTAGAGTGGGAGATGGTCTCCTGGAAAGCATGTCTGATTATTTGTCTCCAGTTAGAAGGTATTATAGAAGAAAAAGAACTTAGTGATTACTTTTATTTAGCTTTTCATGAGATTAAAAACTCCTTGAGGGTTGGGAGGAATCCACTGGTATCTACAGTATCTACCTCATTGCACTTACACAATAAGGTCAGAATAAAATAAAGACTATCAATTTGTGATTGTCTAGTGTTATTACCTGTGCTTTTTCCGCATGTATTTTTTGTGTATACAACCAAGATTAGTCATTTAATTTAAAGTCATCTTTCCTTTAATTAATGCTGAGATTTAATTCTTGATTTTTGATAATTTCCTTGTATTGGCATCTGCTGCCTGCTACCCTTCAGAAAGATTATGTTGAGTTATACACATTTTACCCTCGCACAACCCATAGTAGGCCTCCATAGATATTTATTAAACAGTTAGGGAGTGGGGAGAAGCTCATTGGTAGAGTACTTACCAGCACTGGATTTCTAACACCAGAAAATAAAAAATAAAGTTATATATTTTTTTTATTTTTGTTTTTGTTTTTTCTGGTACCGGGAATCGAACTCACAACCTTGCGCTTGCCAGGCAGGCGCTGTGCCACTAAGCTAAATCCCCAGCCCCAAAGTTATATTTTAGTGTCTGGAAGATTTGGTAGACACTCTGGTCTTAATAGCAACTCTTATTTTTTACATCTTACTTCCAAATTCTGGAGATATGCTTTACTTGAAACAGTTGTTCACAGGGTACAAGATGTACTTTCATACACAGTATTTTTATTTGATTTCCTTTGTTGACTTTTTCTCCAGACAATTTTATCAAGTTGAGTTCATGTGCAACATTTTTAAAAAATGAACTAGGTTTCTTACTGTCAGGTACTTCCTCAGTGTATACATTCTGAGTTCTCGGTCTGTCATAGAAGCCCTTTTAAAGACGATTTTGCATTCAGCCCTGGTAGCCTACTGTTCTTGTGGATAAACTATATGTTAAGAATAAACACTCGGCCAGGCATGGTGGCACACACCTGTAATCCCAGCACTTGGGAGGCTGAGGCAGGAGGATCGTTGTGAGTTCGAGACCAGCCTGGGCTACAAAGTGAGCTCAAGGCCAACCTGAGCTGCATAACAAGACCCTGTCTCAAAAAGACCAAAAAAAAAAAAAAAGAATAAATACTGTCCTTTAAGGTTCATCTGACTTCTTTGTTAAAAGTGAATATATTCTAAGAAAATAAGAACAATGCTGCTTTTGGTAAAATAAATATTTATTGTAATACTAAATGTTACTCTTATAAATTTTTACATCATTTTATAAAATTCTGCTGCTGCTAAGATTTTTTCATACATAGTAACTAATTGTCTTGGTGAATTAGTACATACAGCTATCAAATACTGATCATTTTTACTCTTTTTCTCCCCTCCTTTACCCCTCAACTTTTTGTACTTTATATATTTAAACAGCATATTCTTCGAGACCTTAGGCTTTTGAATTATCAATCTAGAAACACTATAAAAAGTTCTACTTTTTTATTTTTATTTTTTGTGATGCTGGGGATTAAACTCCCAGCCTTGCACATAGGCAACTGCTCTACCCTGAGCTGCATCCTCGCCATAAAAACTTTTTTTTATATAAAGAAGTTTAGCGATATAACTGTGTGTTCCTATAGATATAAGTGTTTACTTTCAGTTATTAAAATCCTGGTAGCACTCTTGTGAGGCTCACAGCAGTTTTGGATTCATTTGGAATACAGAGGAGATAGTGGACAATTGTATCTAAGGAAATAGATGAGTTAACAGATTGGCTTTAGAATGTATTTAATATAATCAGTGATAGATTCATTCTTAGTATTTTCTACAAGTTCTTTGAAGTCTTCCACAAGATAGCTAAGATAATTATACTATGATTTCTATTAGTTCATTGAAAAGAACAGATAGTGTTTATATTGTTTGATCAATCTTATACACCTATATCTGGTAATCTGAGTAAGTCCTTTGAAGATAGCAGCATGCAATATAATAACCATACTCTTGTTTTGAAAGTCTGTATTTTATTATCTTTAAAATAAAGAAATGAAAAAAATAAATGAGTAGGGTTTGTGAATTTTTTCAAGAAATAATCGTAAAGTTGTATTTTCAGTTGACTTCTTTACTGCTTTTTCTGCTGAAAGATTGTTTGAGCTTTGTAATGGGCCTTTTTTGTAAGTTTTAAATAGGCTTGTAATGTGTGAATTTAAGGACAATATCATAGACAACTTATACATTTTGTCACTATATAGATTTGAAGTTTACTTTTCTTTTGGTAGTTTCTTGAAAAAAAAAAATCTAATAGCTGGATCCTTTATTTAAATACAAAATTGTCTCCTACCAGATCACAAGATTTCTGTTGTGAAGGCTGTGGCTCTGCCATGAGGGACGTCCTGTTGCCTTTAAAATCTGGAAGCGACTCAAGCCAGGCTGACCAAGAAGCCAAGGAACTTGCAAGACAAATTAGTTTCAAGGTACCATAAATTCCTAAATAAATTCTACTCATGTAGACTTTTTGTTTACTACTAAATTTTAGGTAGAAAGAAAGCAACACAGTTTTACTGCAATAGGTTTTACAGATAATTCTTTCTTATCACAAAACTCACAGCTTACACTCAGAAGCATTACAGCATAGCAGTTAAAACCTGGACTCTGGTGTATAATGCCAAGGGTTAGGGTTCAACTTCGCATCTTAGTAGTAGTACTACAAGTCAGACGTGTTTTTTTCTCATCCATCAATAATAAGAGTACCCACTCTAGTGGAATGTTGTAATGACGGAGTTAATACAGGTAGTGTATGTGTTACATCTAGATCTGCACCTGGTACTTAATAAATTCTAGCTGTTATCATAGAAAATACAGATAAGTAACAAGAATAAGATTATAAGCCAGGTGTGGTGGCACAGGCTTGTAGTCCCAGTACTGGAGAGGCTGAGACAGGAGGATTGCTGCAAATTCTAGGCCAATCTGGGCTACATAGTGAGACCCTCTTAAAAAAAATTATTGCCCATAGTCCCACTTCCCCAAAATAACACTTAACACTTGGTTACCTCTCTCTTTTATTCCTTTTCTGCATGTTTTACTGAAACATAAGATTTATATAGTATTTTAATGCTTTGAGTAGCTATACTTATAGTTCTAGAATTTAATTAGTGCTTAAAAAAAACAACCTGCATAAAGCAACATGCTACTTCCTCCCCTTCTCCACTTCTTTATACCCTGTCTGTCCTTTTGGGTCCAGTTCTTGAAAGTTTTCCCTTTTATTTTATTACAGTGCCTAGAAAAGGAGGTATAAATGTTGGTTATAATTTCTTCCTTCGGAGGACTAGGCCCAGATGTGTTTTGTTCATCAGAATTTTTCAGATTTTAGAAAAAATATTATACATACCATATATTAACCTGCAGTAGAATGTGGAGCAGCACCTCATAATCAAACCCATTAATATTTCCTCAGCAAACCTAGGACTGTTTACACTGATGAGGCATAAACGCTATTCCAGGGGCCAGGAATATTGCTCAGTGGTAGAGCCCTTGTCTAGCAGTGTGAGGCCCTGGGTTTGATCTTCAACGCTGCCAAAATTAAACAAACAAACATTGCTAAGGACTGGTGATGTAGCTCAGTAGTAGAGTGTTTGCCTGGCACATGTGACGTGCTTCATTTGACCCCCAGCACTGGAGAAAAAATAAAGGACTAGTTGTCTCATATTACTTCATATCAGGCTTTGCCTAAAAATTGTCCAAAAAGCTTTTTATGAGAACTTTTTAGAATTATAGATTGTGAACCATGATGTTGGTTTTGTTCCTAAGTAACAGCTCCTTGAGAACAGGGATTGTCTCTCTGTCTTCCTATAATACCTAGCCCAGTGTCAGACACATAGGTGCTCAATGCTTACTGATTGATAGTAGCAATGAGTAAATCCAAGAGAGGAAAATTTAATAGGTTGCGCACTGTTCTATATGTTTCTTCTTGTAACACTGTTCTTGGGTATTTCTTTTAACAGGCAGAAGTCAATTCATCCGGAAAGACTATTGCTGAGTCAGAGATAAACCACTCTTTTTCACTGAATGATTTACAAGATAACATACCTGCGACATTCCCAGGTGCTACGGCCAGCACTTCGGTATGGCTCTTTTTAATATATATGTATTTTTGTGTTTTTATCATTATTTGGAATAGAAGATGTCAGATCAAATATATGAAAATTCTGGTTCCTGAAAAGTTGGGTTTCAGCCCAGCTCTAATGAATTGTACAATGGAACCTCGGATCACAAATGCAGTTCTCATCACAATTCTGGTTGTGAACCAGACTGAACAAGAACAGAATCAAATTTCCCCACAAGGTCAACATTGAACCTAACCATTGAAATTGATTTGGTTCTCGTCCAACTTGATTTGCAACCAGAATCATGGATAGAATCAAGTTTGGGGGGCTGGGGATTTAGCTCAGTGGCACAGTGCCTTCCTAGCAAGCGCAAGGTTGTGAGTTTGGTTCCCAGTACCAGAAAAAAACCAAAACCAAAAAAAAAAAAGAATCAAGTTCAGGAACTGATGCTTCATTCTGTTATCTTAATTCATTCAAACTTCCTGGGCTTTAGTTTTCTTAATTTTTAAGCCCTATCGTCCCTCTAGAATTCTGTGATTTTTTTAAAGATTTAGTTTCAATATAGTGCTAGATTCTGAATAAAACAAAATATATTAGACACTTTCTAAATGAACACAAATCAGGTTTGTTAAACTACATTAAAGCAGGGCCTGGGGATTTAGCTCAGTGGCACAGCGCCTGCCTGGCAAGTACAAGGTCGTGAGTTTGATTCCTGGTACCGGAAAAGGACCAAAAAAAAAAAAAAAAATTAAAAAAACAAACAAACAAAACTACATTAAAGCACTGACTTGATGCATATAGGGAGCCAGAAGTTGGACTTGCTGTGTTCAGTATACAAGCTGCTCACTACATGTGACTATCTCAGTTCTCATTTAAATTAATAAAAAGTTAAATTCAAAACTTAATTCCTTAGTCACACTAGCCACATGTGGCTAGTGGCTACCATTTATAGAAGTGTAGACATAGAACTTTACTATCACTGCACAATTCTATTGGACCATGGTCCCTTGCACATAGCGACCAAAAAATAACTATTGAATGAAAGAGTGAGTAAATGCTGTGGGGCTGTTAGTTGTTCCCTGACCTGTTGTCTTAAAAAAAAAAAATTGGTGGGACTAGGTCACCAGAGAGACTGATTTAAAAAGTTCAACTAGACTGGTGCTAAATGGGATTACAGGGAAAACCAGTGTCTTTCCTTTCTATATAAAAAAGACAACGGTTCTGGGGTCTTTCTAATAAAACATTGTTTTGTTTTGTTTTGTTTTGGTTTGTTTTGGTTTGGTTTTTCTCCGGTACCGGGAACCGAACTCACGACCTTGCGCTTGCCAGGCAGGCGCTTTTGCCGCTGAGCTAAATCCCCAGCCCCTAAAACATTGTATTATTAAGTAGCCACATCTACTTTTTTTTTCTCTCCAGTTTATGGAGGATTTTAGGAGGTCAGGAAAATTGAAAGTGAAGCTAGGAAGAAGCAGGTTTCCGCTTTACCCAGGAATAACTTACTATAAGTGAACTGAATAGTCTTGAGTGGCTTTTTCCTATTCACAGTGAGCTGATCAGAGAAAAGGAGGCTGGAGAAAAGCAGGGGGGAGGGGCCTGTAGGGAAACACTGTGCAGGGGGGAAGACTGCAGGTGAAGGTGTGGGGGGAAAGTGATGTAGTGAGTTTAAGTTGTTTTTACATGATCCCAAAGCAATTCTCTGAATACAGAGGAATATAATGAATTATTTTTGGATAGGTATGTTGTAAATTGAAATGCTAAACTTTCAGGTTTTTTGTTTTTGTTTTTTTTGGTACCGGGAATCGAACTTATGACCTCAGGCTTGCAAGGCAAGCGCTTATGCCACTGAGCTATATCCCCAGCCCTCAGGTTATTTTTTATTAGTAGTATTCTGTTTTTTTTTTATTTTATAAAGTTTTTTGATAGAGCCATTCTAGATTGAGGATGTAGCTCGGTGATAGAGCACTTGCCTAGCATGAGCAAGGCTCTGGGTTTCATCCCCAGCACCATGAAATGCACACATACACACAAGGTAGAGCCATTCTACTACTATGATGAAGGTGGTAATCTTTTACCTATTAGGACATGCTCCTAATATTTGTTATGATGTGTCTAAATCTGTCTTATAGTAAGTGATCATTATATATTTGTTGAATGAATGAATAAATCTTAGGATTGATACTAGGAATACAGGTAAAGAAATCAAGAAGTGTAAGTCAACTAGATTGCAGAACAGGCTGGGCGTGGTGATGCACGCCTGTAATTCCAGCACTCGGGAGGCTGAGGCAGGAGGATTGTTGCAAGTTTGAGACCAGCCTGGGCTACAAAGAGAGCTCAAGGCCAGCCTGAACTGCATAGTGAGACCCTGCCACAAAAAAGAAAAAGAAAAAAGGGGCTGGGGATTTAGCTCAGCGGCAAAGCGCCTGCCTGGCAAGCGCAAGGTCGTGAGTTCGGTTCCCGGTACCGGAGAAAAACCAAAAAAAAAAAAAAAAAAATTGCAGAACAGTATCTTTAGTATAGTAGTATACTTCATTTTCATGTACATAAAACAATTCTTTTTCATAGATACAATTCACTATTTGAGACTAATTTTGGTTAAAATATGCATAAGTAATTGTCTACAATTGCAAGTGGTTGTTTTAATTACATTTGCATATAAACTGTCTCAAAATGTGATTATATAATTTGACCACTGTGGAATTATTGGAAACCTGGTTTTGGCTAGGGGTAGCTGCTTTATATGCAAGTGTAATATAAATTCACTGAGATATTATACATCAAATCCCAGATAAGCTACATTTTTTTTTTTCTTTAGCCTTGAGGGGGCGAGAGATTGTGGAAAGTCTAAATAAACACAGCAGATAACATCGGGCCATCTGTTGGTTTCTGATGCAGATTTTTTAGCTACGTAGAAATAGAAAAAATAACCGATGGTAGTTTTATGTTCTTCCAGTTTAACAGATTTTCCTCTCTTCCTAAGGATTGAGGTTCTGAATAAGCCTTTCCATTTCATAATAAAAACTAATACAAAACTCTGTCACAGATACTAGTTCTTTAGGTTATTATAGAAAAATTGATATATATTTCTGGGGAAATATATATGATTACAACTATGATTCTTCTAAATAGGAAACATTTTAGAATTTTGTAATATCGCCAGGTTTTAGTCAGTAATGTCATCCAAAAGGCATCTGAAATGTAGGCATGTAATTAAAACATACTATATATGAATAAATATTTCTATTTATTTAAATATTACAGTCAGTATTTTAAAGAATTTTTTTTCTAAATATGTTAGTCATACTAATATAAGACCAAAAAGCTCTAAGTAAATTTCCATTTTTTTTGAACCTTAGTCTAGGTGCTTCCAAATAATAAGCAATTCTGTATTTTAAGTGCTTTATATCATTATCCTGTTTAATCCTCACAACTGCTGAATTGGATATTATCCTCATTGTACAAATGAGGGAGCTGAGATTTGGTTAAATAACTTGCTTAGGTTTACATATCTACCGAGCGGCAAAGCCAGCCTAGTAATGGTAAGGCTCTCTGTTTATAGGCAGGATAATGTTCTCTACTTACACTCTTGGAAAAAATAAAAGCTTTAATCTGAATCAATCTCTTGTGCTGATTTTTGGGCTGATATTACCACCATGTTTTTTTTTCTTTTTCCTGAGAACCCCTTTCTGTTTTTAAGCCTTGACTACATTGGCTCTCTTGCAATTTTTCTTTTTTTTTTTTTGTACCGGGAATCGAACTCAGGACCTTGCACTTGCTAGGTAGGTGCTTATGCCGCTAAGCTATATCCCCGGCCCCTCTCTTCCAAACTTTTTTATGTTCTTGGCTGAGCAGTCAGAAGAATGGAAGGTTTTCTACTAGAATGTTTTTTACTGGCACCATAACTCAGCTAAACTGATGGAATACTTGTTAACTCACCTCGTGACACTTGTGACGATATGTGACTCATGAAATACCAGGCCGTATTTGCACTGTTCGGTAAGCAGGCTGCTCCTTGGAGTCTTGGATTATGGGTGCCCAAGTACGTGCAGCTCCAATCCAGTATCAGCACTTTCATTTCTAACTCAAAGTCAATAGTTTCTTTTTGCTTCTATATTATGGGTCACTATATTTGACAGATTACAATGAATAGTTTTAAAAAGTCGGATTTAACCTTCTTAATGTTGAGATAAATGCCATATTTAAAATGGAAATTGTTCTGCAGATAATTTAGGTCAGCAGGTTTTCCCCCTAATGTTTCAAACTGCTGCCAGTACAAAGTTCATCCTCCTCCCTTTTAGGAAGAGTATTTGAATTATATTATTGATTATCTTTTCTTCCAGGTAATTTGAATTTTTTCTAGTGGAAACTATTTTTAAAGTGTTGTATACTTAATGTATATTATTCTGAATAAATTTTGCATTTGTTTTTTGTTTGAAAGAACATATACTGTCATTAACGTATAGCCAGTGTACATTCGTTGTCTTCAACAAAAGAATGCAAGGCTGCTGAGTTCTTACAGATAGAGTTAAGGTGTCCACATAAGCAATATGGAACTCATATTTTACATAACTTCCTTGACTATGTCCTCACCGTATTTCTTATCTGTATGCCACACTTAAGACTGAAGCGCTTTGCCGGGCATGGTGGCGCATGCCTGTAATCCCAGCACCTGGGAGGCTGAAGCAGGATTGTTGTGAGTTCAAGACCAGCCTGGGCTACAAAGTGAGCTCAAGGCCAGCTTGAAATGCATTGTGAGACCCTGTCTCAGAAAAAAAAAAAAAACAAAAAAAACCCAAGACTGAAGCGCTTTGGCTGTGCTCCGTCCAGTCATGAAAGCAGCAGTGAGGGTGCCGAAGTAGAGGCTACACTGAGCCACACCTTACTATCTTGACATTATTCTTAGACATGCCCAGGGAATTGTTGACAACGTAAGGTATCCAGTACTAAGTACAAGATCCTTACGGACTTGTGTCCGTTCATTGTCAGTAATTGTGAGAAAGGGTAAGCCTGGTTTGAGAACCACATCTAAAATTTTTATAATATTGCTATGAAAAATACATGGTTTGAAATTACTTCCTGTGCTCTATTACTACTAGTAAAGTGTGGAGAAAATAGGTAGACTTTTGTGGTCTACTTTGTTGCTGGTAAATTCCTCCTCTTTCTCAGGGGTACTCAGAGTAAGTTGTATTGTTGGCTTACTCTGCAAGGTGAGTTACTTGCCTCAGTGTTTCATAAGTCTTGGTAGTTTTTTTCCTCAGTCATATTTAACGTACTGAAATTCCTTGTATTCTTGAACAGATAAGTATATATACAAATTTTATTTGCCAATTTCAAGCAAAATTTCTTAAAATTTCCTAGTATGGAGTCGAGAATCCCTCAGCAGCATCCTCTCAACAACCTACCCAACCTGTAGCTAAGAATACTTCCATGAGCCCTCGACAGCGCCGAGCCCAGCAGCAGAGTCAAAGAAGGTCGTCCATGTCACCAGATGTGATACAGGGCCAACAGCCGAGAGACAACCATACAGATCACGGCGGATCAGCTGTACTGATTGTCATCCTGACTTTGGCATTGGCAGCTCTTATATTCCGACGAATATACATGGCCAATGAATACATATTTGACTTTGAGTTATAATAATTGTTTTGTGAATTAAGAGCTGTGACTCAGTTGCTTCATTAAACATTCTGTATTGGGTATAATCTAAGAATTGTTTACAAAGAAATTATTTTGTATCTACCCTTCATTCCTTTTTTGATCTTTATAAATTCAATATAAATTTAGCTAGACATTCAGACTATGCCAAGCAGTGTGTGTGTCCTGCTTAGTTTAAGAGACTGGAATTCAGAGTTCCTTATCTCACTATTTGATCTGCTTCACAGGGAAATAACTTACTGTTATTTCTCCTGCCTCAGTTTCTTTTTCTTTAAATTTGCCATACCTTTCCCTACAGTTCTTTGAAATCTTCAGATAAAAGATGGTATTTGAAGTTCCTGTGAGTATTATTAGTTACTCAATACCATTTATTGAGTACTCCTAGTTAGAGAGAATGATATAGGTACAGAAGAATTAAAAAGGGAAAAGGCAAAACTCAAATAGCTTCTTGAAAGCATCATTCATAGGAGATACATTGGGACTGCCCGTTCTGTGACTCTGCTCTAAATAACAAGTGAGAATGACTTTGTTTTGGTCAAACATTTCTGAGGAAATGCGATCACATTTTTGTTATTGGACATTACTTGAAGAAGAAGTACTTTGTAACCACTTCGATATGCTGTTATCACTCCCCTCTCTCCAGTATGCACACAGATTAAAGAAAAGGAGACAGTCCTTCATAGATCCTTGTCTTAAGGAATAAAGAGGCCAAGCCAGAAAATCGCTTGATTTTCTTCTAGAAGTTAGGAGGGAGGATCTTAGGATTTGAATGTTTGCTGTGCTTTGAAGTGTGTATCTTCTGAGATGTATTATATGCCTCGCTTTGTAATCACAATAAATTTTAATTATTCCAGGAATATACACAATGTACCATTTCATGTATCATTTTAATGGAAAAGCTCAGGGCCCAAGAAGCGGTGGTAGAAATTCTTTACTCAGACTTGTCTACCTAATCAAAGCCCAAGAAAGATTTTCAGTGAAACAAATCAGTATCTCAGTGCTGTTAGCACACATGCTAGTAAGATAATTTTATCATCACAATGTCTGTGGAGACGATATAATCACGGAAAACATTGCCCAGCATGTTCAGTTAGCAGCATTCAGATGTTACTAGTGAAGATTTAATCTTTAAATATAAGCAGTGTCCAGCTTCCATTTAGAAATGTGTCTGTAAGTTGATTTCCTTTTTATAAGTCAATGTAAATGAAATTTAGGTTTTAGGCCAGTCTGTGAAAATTACCTTGAATAGTTTAGGGGAGGGTACTCATAAAGTCTTTCTGCAATTTTAGCTAAAGTTATAGGCAAGAGAAAAACAAGTCATAAAATTATTTTAAAGGCAAATTTAATTTTTATTCTTATAGGGAGTTTGGAGCTATTAACTATCAGACATAATTTCATTTGACAGTTTTCTATTGTGTCTGCATCTAAAATAAGTTTACTATTATATAAGTAGAATTGTCTTAAACTTAATAACAGCATTTTAAAGTTGTTCACAGGTTGTTTCTGTTACATTTATTTTTGTTTTTGTTTTTCTTCCAGTACCAGCAATCAAACTCACAACCTTGTGCTTGCTAGGCAGGCGCTGTGCCGCTGAGCTAAATCCCCAGCCTTTTCTGTTACATTTATAGCTGAAGCTGGAAAACACTAAAAAACCCAAGGACTTTATGAAGACCTCCTGTCAGGAAGGTTACAGATTACCATTTTATAACTTTATTGCCATGAAAAAATACATTCTGAGGTCTTGGTTCATCGCACAAGCTATTAGAAATATTAGAAATCACTGACCCAGCTGGGGAGACCAGATAACATTATCACCTGAGGAAGAAATCCTCATGCCCTCAACCTAAGCTGAGATAGTGCTAGAAACAGTTTTCCTTCCATTTAAAGCTCTAGTCGTACTTGAGACGGCCCCTGGATCTACGTGATCTTGCTGCATGTTTCCGTGAAGAGTGCCTGCAGTTTATAATTAAGCATTGTGCAGATCCTTTAACCTGATGTCCTTGTCTACCCTCACCCATAAAGTAACTGGGGACCTGCTTGTGTAGGGATTTATAGCGCCCGACCACACATCTGAAAGTGGCGCATTTTGCCTTCCCCTCACAGAACGCGCCCTGAAAATCCTTCAGGTGTCACTCTGACCCTCCTCATGGGGCTAAGAGGCCTCATTAATGTTGCTGTAAGACTGTTTTAATTGAAACTCCACTGAAGGTCCTCTTCAGGAAACTATTACTTTTAAAGCCCCACTTTAATCCTTTAATTCCAGTATAAACCCAAACTGGATGTATAATCTGCTAGGTGAAGGCTTAGAATTTCTTATTGCCCCAATTCTTAATTTAGGTAACTCATGGCTTTTGCTTTGATACCATCATCATGACTGCTTACCTAGATAGTTAAAATAGCATGCTTCCAGAATACGCGTTTCATATGTGACTGTTTAAGCCAATGAACCTTTCAGATTTTATGTAATGTGGGGCTTTTATGTAGCACTTTGTTTCCATGCTGCTTATTTTATTCTACAGAAATAAATGAGTTTCAGCAAAATTACCAATTTTTTAAAACTTTAAAAATTGTTTCTTATTTTGGCTATAGACATATAAAATTTCTTCTTTCCGGCAAATAATTTTGGTTTATGAATAAATATTCTTGCTATCTGAGATGCCCCATTTTTATAGTTCAGAATCAGTAAAGAAGCAAACCTCATGCACTTGGACTTGAGCAGAAACCTGAAGCAAAGTACTGAAAAGCCTACATTGTTGTGTTTCTCACAAGTACACGTATGTGATGGGAATGTGTGAACCAGACATTAACCAAGAGTAATGTATACATTAATTTACACACCACTGAAACCCTCGTAGGACGTGCGTGTCCCAGAAGCTGCATGGACCACCTGTTGAACAGGTCAGTGCCTTTAGAACCAGTTTGAGCCACTTAATAAAACCATTGGGTATGTTTTTTGTTTTTTTTTGTTTTTCTCCGGTACCAGAAATCGAACTCACGATCTTGCGCTTGCCAGGCAGGTGCTTTGCCACTGAGCTAAATCCCCAGCCCCACCACTGGCTATGTTCATACCTTGTTTTTGACCAAAGACTGAATTCCTGCCCACCTAGTCTTATCACTGGTAGTATCTGTTCTACTCCTTTGAACATTCACTACTCTAAAATAGCCATTATCTCTTCTGAATTACTGCATTTACCTCTTTTTTTGTTTGTTTTTTTCTCCGGTACCAGGAACCGAACTCACGACTTTGCGCTTGCTAGGCAGGCGCTTTGCCGCTGAACTAAATCCCCAGCCCCTGCATTTACCTCTTCGTAGGTCTCTAGTCTTTTTCCATTCCTCACACTCAGCCAGACTCAACACACAAATCTGATCCTGTCTTTCCTATTGCTCTTAAGGTAGGCCTAACCCCTAAAGCGAGGACACAAAGCTGTGTGTGACCAGACTCCTGCCTTGCTTTCTGGGCTAATCTGATCTCATCAAATGGTATTGAGGCCTGCCCACAGCTCTGAGCCAGTGAGCAAGTGCTGAAAGTTCTGCCATCTGTGTAGCCTCATGCCAGACAGTAATTAGCTCAAATGTATCAAAGACTTAAATGTAAACTTAAAGCTGTAAAACTCTTGGAAACAATAGATGTTGGTCCCAGTGGGCCAGGAGTGGGTTCTTAAGATACAAGATCAAAAGGACAAACAAGCAAAGAAAAAGGTAAGTTATAGTTGATCAAAATAAAAATTTGTGTTTCAAAGAACACTATCAACAAAGTGAAAAGGCAACAAAATATTTACACATCAGATATCTGATAAGGAATTTATAGTAAGGATATTTGAATAATAGTTGTAATTCAGTAGTGAAAAAGATAACCTGATTTTAAAATGGCAACAGATTTGAACAGACATTTCTACAAAGAAGATATACATATAGCCATTGTATACTCAATGTCATTAGCTATTAAGAGCAATGTATATCAAAACCACACCGAGATACCATTTTATTCTCACAAGGATGGGGAGAATAAAAAGCTAGATAAGTGTTTGGTGAAGATGTAAAGAAACTGGAACTCTCCTACATTTCTAGTAGGGGTGTAAAATAATGGAGCTACCTTTTTTGTATCAGGAATCGAACTCAGGACCTTGCACTTGTCAGGCAGGCACTTGTGCCACTGAGATATATACCCCCTGCCCTTACTTTGAAAAATGGGCAGTTCCTCAAAAAACAACAAAGTTATCACATGACCCAGCCGTCCCATCCCCATATATATATTCAAAAGAAACCAAAATATGTTCACACACAAATTTGTTTGCAAATACTCATAGCAGCATTATTGTTAATAGTGAAGAGATAGAAACTCAAATGACCAGCTGATAAATGGATGAACGTGTGCTATGTCTATACAATGGACTGTTATTTGCCCATAAAAAGGAATGAAGTGATGAAACATGCTAAGACAGAGGAACCTTCAAAACAGTGGTGAGGTACAGCTCAGTGGTGCAGCACCTGCCTGGCAAGCCCAAGGTCCTGAGTTCAATTCCCAGTAGCCATTACATAAATAAATAAATAAAATGTTATGAGTGTGCTCAAAAGATTAAAAAAAAAAAGTGAGTGAAGCCAGCTACAAAGGCTGCAAATAGTGATTCCACTTACATAAAATGCCCAGAACAGGCAAAATCTTAGTGTCAGAAAGATTGGTGGTTGCCAGAGGCTAAAGGAAAGAGAATGGAGAATGACTGCTATTTGGTCTGAGATTTCTTCGTGGGGGAGATTAAAATATTCTAAAATTAGGTAGTGGTGGTAGTTGTTTAACTCTGAATATATTAAAATCAACCCTTCAAAGGAATGAACTTAGGGTATGTGAATATTTCACTGAAGTGATTTAAAAAGTACCATCCATCTGTGGTTTTCTCCTTTCTGAAATTAATTCAACTGTTGATACGAGAACTTTACAGAAAACAATTAGCAGGACCTAAAGTTGTGTCTAGAGTGCAGAAGAGTCAACAATTTCTTAGAAACAACATCCAGGCATGATTCTCCTGTTGCAGCTTGTCCTTTAAAGACTGGTTTTGAATAGAAGAAAGAAAAAGAAAGATTTTGAACAAAAGCTACAAAGAAAAGAACTTTTAACAGTTCTCGTGTCTCACCACTGAATCTTTGAAAGGAATAAGACTTTTAAACACATTTCTGGGCTAGCAGTGTAACTTAAAGGTAGAGCCCTTGCCTACCACGCATGAGGCCCTGGTTAACAAACACTTCGCCCCTGGCTAATTCGAATGAGTGGCCAGATTTGCGAATCACTACATCATTTCCACTCCTAAACACCTATGTAACCCATTGTAAGTTGGCTCCCCATCACGTCTCAACCCAAACCGCTCCTGCTGAGGTCAGGAATGCTCTTCCAGTTGCCACGTCCAGTTACCTATTTCTTGTACTCATGTTTGACTTCCTCACACGGCTGACTGTTGACTACTCCTTAGCTCCCTCCCTGAAACTCTCTGCTTTCATAGTCAGCTTCCTTGCTGCTGCTTCTATGTTTTTGTTCTGGTTTCCCCATCTATTCTTTAGATTCTCCAGGATCCTGTGCTTGGAGTTGGGATCTTTCTATGTCCAGAAGGATCTCACTCTTTCCTGGGATTAAACTGCCACCACACCCTCATGGCTTCGAGTCTATTCTTCAATCCAGACCTTTTTCTGGAGTTCTAGCCTCATAGGCCAGTTGCTTGTTTGCCATCTGGAGGTCAGTGAGCCCACAAACGTGGTCCACAAGTCCAAATTTATCTCATTTTCCCAACAAACTGGCCCCCCTCTATTGGATATCACACAATGGTAGTGCCCTCCTACTAACCCTGCAGATCCACCTCCAAGCTAGAAGGCTTTCTTTTGTAGTGGGAACGGAACCAGGGCCTTGCACACAGTAGGCGAGTGCTCTACCACTGAGCTACCTCCTCAGTCCTCTAAAGCAGAATTCATGCGGTCATTGTTGGTTTCTCTTTCACCTCCTAGAATCACCAAACATATTCCACTTCTGAAGTAACTTGGTCGTCTCCTTTCTTTCTTTCTTTTTTCTTTTTTGGTCTTTTTGAGACAGGGTCTCGCTATGTACTTCAGGCTGGCCTTGAGCTCACTTTGTAGCCCAGGCTGGTCTCGAACTCACAACGATCCTCCTGCCTCAGCCTTCCAAGTGCTGGGATTACAGGCATGCGCCACCACGCCTGGCTATCTCATTTCTTTCTTCCTCCTCTTCTTTCCTGCTTTACTTATAGAAGGAACTCATCCTGGTTAGTTGTTATATTTTCCCTGGTTCCACTGACCCTGATTAGAATTCCTTAAAAAATAAAATGGATTGTGTCATCTTGCTTTGCTGCTTTTGGCTCTTTTCTTCGCTACATAATATATCCCAAATTCTTGTTCAGCTCTCCCTCCTCCCAACCTCTGGCCCCATTTGCCTGTTTCTACCACACTCCTCTCCACCGCCAGCCCGCAGAAGCCAAGCAAGATGTAATTTCAAACATACCATATTCCGTTCAGTAGCTTAAACATAACCGCGTGTATCTCTATGCTTCTAATGCGCAGAATTCGATCTCACAGGACAGCACTCAAACCCAGTTTTTGATGTTTGTCTGTATACATTTCAGAGTCACAAATCAAAGTAAATTTAATATTCATGCTAGGAAAAAGAGCTTACATAATCATGAATTCTCTTTTAGATTATGTTCTTCTTCAATATCAAGATGTGTTTTATGCTTTGGTATGAAGTTTTCACTGAGAAAACAAAAGCCAGGTGTATATTTGGGAGAAAGCAGTGAACCTTGGCCATAGGAAAACTATGTTTGCTTAGATGGAGAACTAAAGCAACCCTCGGAACACGGGCCATTTGCGTGCTTCCTCAGCATTTCCTGAACACACTCATGTACGCCTCTCCACGCGCAAAGCCGTCCGGAATCTATGCTGACCCTCTGCTGGATGTGGCAGACTGGTTTTACGCAGCCAGAGAGATGGATTAATGATCTCAGCAAAGAGCTGGCATGTTCAAGAGATTTAATTTTTTTTTATATAACAGTTTTAGCCAAAGCCGTTCTAGGGTTCAGTGGAAGCAGTTTCCCAGGAAGGCAAACTTCTTGACTAATGGCCAATCTCTAAGCAGCAGGGAGGGCAGAGCTGGTGCTTGTGTCATGACCTGGTGGGTGGGGCGTGGGGGTGGGAAATTCATCAGTATCAAATAGTAGCTCGGGAAAATCGGCCTTGCCAACCATCCTCTCACAGGTCCTCCGAGCAGCGTCCACCAGAGGCTGAATCAATGGTCAAGCTACGCGGGGTTTGCCCCACAGGAAGTTACTGGAAAACAGCCTGTTGCATCATAGACACTCACAAAATGCCTTACTTTACAAGACTCATCCTGTTCTTGTTTTGCCTGATGGTTCTTGTGGAGAGCCGAAAACCCAGGAGGAAGAGATGGACAGGGCACCTAGAAATGTCCAAGCCAAGGTAAGGTTGTGGTGGGAGGGGAGAAGCCCACGTTTGCAGCTGTGGCACATTGGGAGAGTCCCAAAGAGGGCTGGGTACATCCTTGAGTGTCCTATTAGACTGTCTTTTCCAGCTAGAGGTAGAGAGACCCCCCGCCTCACCAGAGCACAGATATTCTATACTGAAAGCAGCAAGAGCAAAGCAAGACAAGGCTGAGCCTGCATAGCCAAAGAATTTTGCCAGGATTTTGAGGTAAGGCAGATAGTTGAAGAGTAGTAGGTTAGAATCTATTACTTCATTTCTTGGGATAACATTGTGGAAGGGACCATAAGAGGCTTGCTGAATAATTACATTCAAGGTACTTAGGGTGGCTTGTATATAGAAATTTACCTTGAACTATGAAGAAAAAATGTAAGGCTGGGGGTGTAGCTCAGTGGTAGAGTGCTTGCCTAACATGTGGGAGGCCCTAGGTTCAATCCTCAGCACCACAAGAAAAAAAAAAAGAGAAAAGAAAAAATATAGCCAAGAATAGTTTTCTCTGAAGTATTTGATAAAGGATAACTTGTATTAATAGTGGTTTTAGCCAGGCGTGGTGGCGCACACCTGTAATCCTAGCACTCAGGAGGCTGAGGTAGGAGGATCACTGTGAGTTTGAGGGCAGCCTGGGCTACAAAGTGAGCTCAAGTCCAGCCTGACCTGCATGGCAAGACCCTGTCTCAAAAAGACCAAAAGTGGTTTTTATTTTACTGTTTGAATTTATAAAAAAGTATTTGAAATTTGCCAGATTATCAGAAATGTGTGGACAACCATCAATGCCATTTCATAGATGTAAGGAGACATTTCCAAGACATACTGATCAGAGTTAGAACTTACATTCAAAACCACTACCCTACAGGTCTTAGTTCCTTAGTAAGTTTGTTTTAAACTGACATACGGAACATGGTACTCCAAACTGAGGCAGACATAGGGCTGTTGGGCATAAAGAAGAAAAGAAGAACAAGAAGCTAAGATACAGACATGTGTGGAATCTTACCCAACTGTCTTCCCTTCTTTTTTTTTTTTTTTTTTTTTTCTTTTTTTTTCCGGTACCGGGAATTGAACTCACGAACTTCCGCTTCCCAGGCAGGCGCTGTGCTGCTGAGCTAAATCCCCAGCCCCAGTCTTCCCTTCTTAATAATGAGTGAACTACTGGTTCTGGATGTAAACTAGTATTTTTTTGGGGGGGGGTGGGTACTAGAACTCAGGGCCTCCCGTATGCAAGTGCTCTACCACTGAAATACATCCCAGCTCTGAAGTTAGGGTCTTAAGGCACACATTCTCTAGGTCAGTGGTCATGTGCCATTACCAGCAACACTCTTTTGAAACTCTACCTCCAATATATCTCTATTTACTTACAAATTAGATATATGTACTATTATAAATATGCATAGTAAATCTTTACTGCTTATTTTAAAAAAAAGCCCATAGGGGCTGGGGATTTAGCTCAGCGGCAAAGCGCCTGCCTGGCAAGTGCAAGATCGTGAGTTCGGTTCCCGGTACCAGAGAAAAACCAAAACAAAAAATAAAAAAATAAAAAAAACCCCATAAATATAAATAAGAATTATAATTCCTATTTCTGGAAGCCCGGTAAAGGCGTAAATACCATAAGGCTGAGTCACACTCTAGAAACCAAACAGATCAAAATCCCCCAAAATGACGGAAATAGGCGCTGCACTAGAAGGCTTTCCCCGGCTCTGTGGCCAGAATCATAGGCTTGTAGTAGAAAGGATCTCAGAGGCATCTGATTCACAACTCTCCTGAGCTCTGATTTTGGGAAATATGAGTAAAGCTTGTGTGACACGGGGGTTGTAGGGCCAAAGGAGACTGGGAAACTTTGCTTTAGGCCATATTAAACAGATGGCCTTTCTAGAAGTTCTTTACAGCAGACCTTTTGGCACCTTTGTTATACAACTAGGTGAGGTAAACCTTGAAGAGGGGGACACATTGTTCAGTATTTCTCAAAAACAAGGACAACGTTTATCTTGTAAGACTCCTATCCCAGGGAGCACATGGTGGGAGACTGCCCAAACAGGGTCATTTTACAAGGGCATAAACAGTGGTTCAGGGAGGGCCTGAATAAGTCACAGGGCTTGCTGGTGTCTCATAGGACTGGAACATAGGTTCTTTTTACTCACCCTAGAGGAAAGGGTGTCTGAAGATATCTCTGCCTTGAATGGGTGTTGGGGTCCAGATGAGCCCCTGGGAAGCCTTATGGACACCCCCCGCCCCCACAATCTGGGCCATCATAGCATCTGTCACCTCTCAGAAGACCCAGAGTTTCATTTCTAGATGCTTGTGTGGGGACATGGGGACAACTTGAATCTGACTCTTAGGGTGAGGAGAATTTCTTGAAAGTTATCCCATGAGGTGTTAAAGTGGAAAAAGGTAAACATATAATTCAAAGAATCTAAGACCATTCTTGAACTGAGGCTGGGAGGAAGGCTAGGGACTATGGCTGTGAGAAAAATTCTATCCAAGCATCTGATGCCACTTTTCACAACTGCTATCATTATTTGATCTATACACAGGGTTGAAAACTATACTAATTAATAGGAATAAAATGACTTTTTTTGCTTATAGTCTTAGAATACTTCCTACATGTCCTATTCACACACAAAAACATATATACAGTAGTACACCCACACCACATACCACCCGCTCATACATATATGACACATAGTTCCTCACACATGGTCACACACACAGTCACTCACGTCTAACTCACAGCCCACCGCATATAACAATGGTCACACTCCACACACTGTCAGGACCTCTTCTACCCTCTCAGCCTTCCCTGCATTGTTCGGGCACATGTACTCACACAAAATTATTCTGCCCAAGCTGGGTATGGTGGCACACACTTGTAATCCCAGCACCAGGGAGGCTGGGGGAAAAAAAATCTGCCCGGAAGTTGCTTTTTCAAAACCTTCTTTGGGTTTGCTAATCTTTTAGGTCCGAGTTTATTTAATGGCTCCCAAGCAAGTCTGCTTTCTCTCGGCTGTCTTCTTCTGGTTTTCCTGTTTCTCAGACCCCGTGCTTTGCCCCAACTGCCCCAGTCTGCTTCCTGATTGGCTTCCTACCTCACGATGGCTTTCTTTTCCGTGGAGGCCCTTCTCCCTTCAAGATCGGAAGGATCAACCAAATGCCCAGGCTGTGAGAGTCTGGGCCCTCCAGTCTCAGAGCCAGCCTGGAGGGCCCTGTGCCTCCCTTCCCACCCTGCTGCGGCCCTGGTACGCCTGGCCTCAGCCCTCTTCCTGGTTTGCACCATGATTCTGTCATGCTGGGCCGAGGAGCAGCTTTGCTCTCTTGGCCGCTGGGGAAGGTCCTGGGAAGGAAAAGGAGGTGAGAGGTCAACAAAACTAGCTTTGGTTCTACCACTCTCTGGTCATGTGGCTGGTTTTCTATTTCTAAACTTCCGTTTCTCCAGCTGAAGAGGGGAAGTGGGCATGGGGTGAGGCGTGCCTAAAGATGGCCGCCGCAGCAGAGAAGGGTGTGGTCACTGCTCTGGCCAAAAAAACCCACACAGTGCCTCTAGCCTTGCTTCCAAAGGCACAGTGAACACAATCTTCTGTCACCAACATCTCCCCACCAAGGGCCTGGTCCAAAATGCCTTGGAGGGTTTGGCTGCCTTGTTGTGGGGGTGGGGCTCAGGAGATAGGAGCTGAGTGTGGAGGCTGTCCTGACAGAGCTGGGCCTGCCCTGTGAGAGTGTGAATAGAGTGCAGCTGGCTCGTGCAAACAGCCCAAGGCTCAGGATTTTAGCAGCTCCAGTGATCAAACAACTGGTCCCTTAAAAAAATATTCTGAGCCCTCAATGGCAGCAGGATTTAAATCTTCTCTCTCTTGTTGGGATGGAGGCATGCTGGGACTTCCGGTTCTGTAATCCTCCCCTAAATAAATGTGGAAACTGTTGACAGGAGGGATTTGCTCCCGGTGAGGTAGAGCGGCAGTGAGCCGGCTGCACTCACAATTTAATGTCTATGATCTGCTAAGCCCTTGGCTGAGCCTTTCATCCGCCTTCCTGGCATCTTTTGCTGAGTGTCTGGTCACGGTTTCTTACACTGTGTCTGCCCAAGGAACCAGGCCCAGTCACACTGACCCCTGGACACAAGGATTAGGGCAGAGACTGGTGGGTGTGGAAGTTCCTCGGAGGTACCAGGCCATGAGCAAGCATACATGCTTCAAGGGGACTGGACTTCAGCTCCGTCTCCAGCCCTGGGGAGGAAGTTCCACAATCACAAAAGTTTTATTGCTAGCTCAGTGCTTCTTTTTTTTTTCTTTTTTCCTTGTTTAGTTAGACCCTTGTCAATAGACAATAATTAGGATATTCTGGATTTGACTGCTTTAGGGTTGTATGTAGGTTTGGTAGACAATGACCTGGAAAGAGTATGAAAGAGAGTGAAGAGAGAATCAGTCCTTTGTCACCTAATTTAGAGGAAAGGGATTTGACCAGAGCCCGCAGTCCTGGCCTCCAGCTCTGGCTGCCACCTCCTGCCACCACCTCACTGGGTGTCTGGACCAATTCAGTCTCCTGGGGCTGGGGATTTAGCTCAGCTACACAGCTCCTGCCTGGCAACTGCAAGGTCATGAGTTCGATTCCTGGTACCGGAAGAAAAACAAACAAACAAAAACTCAGTCCCCAACTCAGCCTTGACCCCTGCTGGCTGTGGGTTCTCTGTTCTGAAGGTGGAGGCTTTCTACAGAGGGTGGCCTGTGGACCTGCCACTTGGGCTCATGGAAGAAGTATTGATTCTGGCTAAGAAAAAACCCAGTGTTTCTACATTTGCCTGAGGCATATTTATCACAAAACCATTAACAATGTCACTGGGTTGGGTCTTTGAGGTCCCTGAGGCTGAAGTAAAGAACCTAGGTTGGGTCTGTGAGGTCCCTGAGGCTGAGAACCTATCCCACCCTTTTAAAATAAGTTTGCTAGTTCACTGGCTCATTGTGGAAAAGGAATTTTTAGGATGTGCCAGTTAAAAAGAGACCTGAGAAGGTTTGTTAGAGATGGAGGTACAGGACACACTCAGAGAATGGGGTATGAATGCTAAGAGAAAGGACAGCATGTTACAAGCTGGACCAGAGCCCATGTAAAAGATGTCCTCGAGATAGGTGATCACTGACAGTAATGGCAAACCTTTTAGATCTCAGTGCCCAAACTGCAGCCCGAAACTTATTTATCACAAAATACCAATACCACAATTAAACCTGAATGCTGAGGTTTTAGCTTAGAAAAAACAACTCCTACATTAACAGCTTCTATCCTTTTTTTTTTTTTTTGGTTTTTCTCCGGTACCGGGAACCGAACTCACGACCTTGCGCTTGTCAGGCAGGCACTTTGCCGCTGAGCTAAATCCCCAGCCCCTGACAGCTTCTATCTTAAAGGAAAAATAAATAACACACGTGCCATAGTGATACAGGGGAAAGAAACTCCCAACCTGTGTGATACCTGGGACATGTTCTCTAAAATCGAAGAATGAATTTTAGGAGCAATGGAGGTTAAGAGCAGAATATATTTATTGAGGGAAAGAAAGTTTCTATCCCAGAGAGGGACAGAAGGGGACCCAAGTGAGTTGCCCAGGGAACCAGTCTTTTTCCAAGGATTCTTATAGAGCAAAGCCATGAGGTGTCCCAGCACTCGGGAGGCTGAGGCAGGAGGTTCCTTGAGAGTTTGAGGCCAGCCTGGGATACAAAGTGAGCTCAAGTTCAACCTGAACTGCACAGAGAGACCTTGCCTCAAAAAGACAAAAAAAAAAAGACACGGGGTCAGGCGGGTCCAAGGTGGGGAGGGGGATGGGAAATCACAAGGTGGGCATGAGGTGGGACAAAACTATGGTCAGCCAATAAGATTACAAGTGTGATTATTCAGGTAAAATTGATTGAATCAGGATCAAATAGGGAAGTGAGTCACATAGCAAGGGGGCATAAATATAGAACAGGGGCTTTTCCTGTAAAGAGCTGGGTCAGTGACTCTTCAAGGTGACCGCTACCTATTTAGAGTGTCAATCCCTGATGTCCATCTCTAGGGATTTGCATTTGTTTAGTCTTTTGTCTTGAGGTCTGCCCTGCAGCAAATACATCTCCATTTGCAAGGTATCTTGTCTTCCATATTGGCTCCTTCCAGGGCTTGGCCTCGTCTAACTGCCTATAATATTTCTTTCTTTCTTTCTTTCTTTCTTTCTTTTTTTTTTTTTGCCTTTTTGAGAAAGGATTTCACTAGGGAGCTCAGGCTGGCCTTGAACTCACTTTGTAGCCCAGGTGGGCCTCGAACTCACAGTGATCCTCCTGCCTCAGCCTCCCAAGTGCTGGGATTACAGGCGTGCACCACCACACCCGGCTGCCTATAATATTTCTATCTAACTCAGCTGCCTACAGCAATAGGTTTGCCGGTCAGGTTACAGCGTAGGCTATGTACCCATGTTTGAAGTTGAGACACACTGCTGCCAATGCAGCTGCTTCCTGGGGTGGAGGAACAGCAATCTGCAGGTGTGGAGGACCACTGGGATTTGGTCCTACTTCTATGTATTGATATGTTCCTAGCTGGCTAGGATGTTTCTTTATCCCCTCAGCTGGCTTTAAGCAATGCAAATAGCTCTAGCTGGGGTATTGCTGTGTAGTCTTTAAAGTAATGCACAGGTCAGTGATGCCTGGCCTGTAGCTCCCGTGTAGTATGTGTGAGCTAGGCCGAGTGACGCCACACGGTTGCTGTTGGCTGACAGTGAATTTCGAGAAAAAAGCCCTGACATCTCAGGGCCTGGGGGTTATACATCAAAACTGAAGCACTGACCCCAAAACGTTAGATACTGCCCCAATCTGTGATATGCAGATTACTCTTTCTGCATATCCTTCTCTCTGCATATTGCAGATGTGATTGCATGCCTCCTACCTAGCCCAGCTCACAGCACTCCTGGACCACCCGCCTTTCTTTCAGTCACTCGCCCCCAAGCCATTCCTCTCTTCATGAATTAATAAAATCCAGGTTCAGCCCTGGGTTGAGGCCTTTGTTTCCCTTAACCGTCATTCTAGCTGGACTTAGGGCTCCTTGGCTCCCCACAACTACAAATATGCCTTTGTGTTTTTATTCTTGCTGTGGATTGCACTTGGAAGTGGTAGATTGGAATTACTTATTGGAATTCCAGTAACTTCCCTGAGATTCCAATTGCGGACTCCTCCAGACCTTGAGGAGGTCTAGAAGGGCTTCATATATTACAGGCACAATTTACAGGTGAAAAAGAGAGGTCCAGGGCCCAAAAGACAGAAGGCAGGGGGTAGGGAGTGCTGGTCAGGTCACAAGATAGGCTGGCCCCCACAAGCAGGAAGAAGCTTGTCTGGAATGTGTAGTTTTTCTTAAGCATACAACTTAAAACTCTTGATTTTCTTGTCTCTTTTCTACCTACTTTTTATTTCTTCTATCTTACTTCAGCCACACAAGAAATTTTTGAATATAAAAATCAAAAGGAGGGGCTGGGGATTTAGCTCAGTGGCACAGTGCCTGCCTGGCAAGCACAAGGTCGTGAGTTCGATTCCCGGTACCGGAAAAAAACCAAAACCAAAATAAATAAATAAATAAATAAAATAAAAAATAAATAAAAAGGAAAAGGAAAAAGAAAAAAAGTCCCTCCATCACTCAACCCAATCATTTTCATCCAATCATAACTTTGGCAAGACAATCAGGAGCTTTCCCAAGTAGAATGCTGTTGGAGGTGGTGAAGTCCACTTTAGGAAGCAGTGGAAGGATCTGGTCCATTGATACAGGAGAAATATAACTCCTGACTTGTTAGATGTCAAATGCACTGATTTTGTGATCTCACAACTTTAAGGAATGAAGTTGCAAATCAAAGGAAGAAGGTAGAAGAGTTTCATTGGAAATGAGAAGAATAGTTTCTGGATTTCCAGGAGGGGTCTTGAATGGGGTGGCCACAGAGACCCTTTGTCAGGGTTAATTTATACAGCAAAGTTGGTACAATATAGCGGGTCAAATTACAATCAACCTATGGAATTACAAGTATAACTACTGAGCTAGTATTGACTTAACAGGAAAGAGTCACATAGCATGGGAAAGAACAAAGACATTTTTGGAAAGAGATGGGTCCAGATGCTCTAGACTTAGGATTCCTTGGCTCCCCACAACTACAAATATGCCTTAGTGTTTTTATTCTTGCTGTGGATTGCACTGGAAGTGGTAGATCAGAATTACTTATTGGAATTCCAGTAACTTTTCCCTGAGATTCCGAATGCGGACTCCTCCAGACCTCGAGGAGGTCTAGAAGGGCTTCAAATATTACAGGCACAATTTACAGGTGGAAAAGACAGGTTCAGAGCCCCAAAGACAGAAGGCAGGGGGTAGGGAGTGCTGGTCAGGTCACAAGATAGGCTGGCCCCACAAGCAGGAAGAAGCTTGTCTGGCTGGACTTACTGGACCAGGTGGTGGTAATGACAGTATAATTTTAAGTTACTGTTTGTTTGTTAGGGAAGCATGTAGGCCTGACCAGTGTATCTTTATTTGAGGACGGCCTTCTTCAGCTGTACCTCCACTGGAAATTCTGATGTCTTTATTTCTTTGTGCTGACTCTCCTGAGGGCACAGTTCCTCTCTGACTGTATATTAATTACTATGTAATTTAGCTGCCTATGATACTGTAAAGGTGTGGAAGGATGCTGGCGGGCCTTTCAGTCTTCTCCCTGGCTGAGAAGGACTGGCAGAGTAGAGATCATCTCACTCAGTGCCTTGGCAGACCACTGGAAAAGTATTTCTGGTTTGTCTTTGCAGTCACCCGTACAAAAAGTACCTTGACGTGACCAAAATCCGAACAGGAAAGCCTCAGCCACTTCTCCGGGTGGATGACCATGACTTCACCATGAGACCAGCCTTTGGAGGTAGGACCGTGGGCCTCATCCCATCCCCCAGGGCTGCTCTTCAGACTTACCTTGTTACCTTGTTTCTGTCAGCCACAGCCTTTGCTGGGGTGTGATTTCCCACCTCACGGTCAGATAAGCACGACTCCACTTCTGGAGTCACTCACGGTCCTGGAGAGATGGCAGGAAGTGGTGAAGAGGCTGCTGACTGGACCCAGGCTTCAGGTGACTCACGTGTTTACCTTCACAGAGACCAGCCATACCGACAGCTGTGTTTTGCTAAAAAAAGCAAGTGTGCAGGGAGCGCCTCTGGTTGGCTGTTCTGTGACTGGCGGGATTTCCAGTTGTCAGGGGGCCACCATCTTTCCAGTGCAGCAGCAGTTTAACTCACTGGAAAGACCCCAAAGGAGCATTGATACTTTAGGGCTCAGGGAGTAGAGGCATCACAGGGGGTGCAGTCCTTCCCAGGAAAGAGGAAACTGCACAGGCAGGCCTGCACCTTCGTCAGTTTATAAGGATGTATTATTGGCTCAGTGGCTTGGAAACAACAGGAGGGGCTGGGGATTTAGCTCAGCGGCACAGCGCCTGCCTGGCAAGCGCAAGGTCGTGAGTTCGATTCCTGGTACCGGGAAAACAAAACAAAACAAAACAAAAAACGGAAACAACAGGAATTTATTTCTTACATGTTTGGAGGCTGAAATCAAGATCAAGGTACTGAGAGAGTCTGTGTCTAGAGAGACACCTTCTCACTCTTAAGTGCAGACTGTGAAAGGCAGGAGGGAGCTCCCTGAGGTGTCTTTATAAGGGCACAATCCCGTGCATGACAGGGCTCCACTTTCACGTCTGAATCACCTCCTAAGGGCCTCACCTCCTGATACCATATGGTGATGTTATAGGAATGAAATCAGGAGATACTATAACTCCCAGTCTGCTAGATGTCTGATACTCTGAGCTCATGTTTCCCAAAAATAAAAGAATGAATTCTAAGGAACATAGGGGTTAAGAGTAGGAAATATTTATTAAGGGGGAAAGATACAGCTCCTGAGAGGCAGGAGGGGCCCCAAAGGGGTTGCTGAGGACCCCACTTCTCAGGCGAAGTTTTATAGAGCACAATCATGTGGGCGCAACATGGGTTACAGCTATAATCCACCAATAAATTTATAAGTAGCCACTTAGGTAATATGGATCCAGGGAGGAAGCAGGTCACATAGCAAGTGCACACATAGCAAGAGCACCAAGAACTTTTTAGGAGGTGAAGAGTCCAGGGGTCTTGGTTAGCCACTGAGGAGACCGATTCGACCTAGACTTCATTAGACCAGGAGTTACCACTTATCTCAGGCCTGGTCATTCCATCTTTATTTAAGGCCTGGCCTCCAAGATAAAGAGCCACCTCTGTAATGGGTTTTCTTTTTGTTGTTGTTGTTTGTTTGTTTTTCTGGTACCAGGAATCAAACTCATGACCTTATACTTGCCAGGCAGGCACTGTGCCGCTGAGCTAAATCCCCAGCCCCTGTAATGGGTTTTCATCTTTGTCCTGACTCTCTCAAGGGCCCAGCCCTATCTGACCGCTTGTAATATTTCTGCCTAACTCATCTGTAATACCTAGGGGTTGGGATTTTAACGTATACATTTTGTGAGGACACAGATGTTCAGATCAAACAGCTGGGAAAGGACCTAGTTGATTGCTCTGAGCAGGCATGGAGTGGGCTGAGAATAGAAGATTGCACAGGATCCCTGGGTCAACTCTTCCCTGGTGCATATTGGGGAAACTAAGGCCCAGTGCATGTCAGCGCATCAGCTGTGGTTGGGTAGACTGTTTTCCTTTCTGCTGTGTCTTTCCCCTCAGTACCCATTGTTATTCTGGGATGGCAGGAAGGAGTATGACCTTCAGGCAGGTAACAAATGCTTTCTGAGTCTCTGTTTGCACATGTATACAATGGGGACAGTAATCCACACCAACAGGGTTGTTTTCCAGATTAAACGAGATTATGTATGTAAAGCCCCTGACATGTATTTGTTCACATCCTCTCAGAAAACCCAGCTGTCAGACCTTCCTCCTGTGTGACTGTTAAGGGATTAAGAAATTAATTTATCCCAGAGGCCTTTGGATTTTAAAAGGCACTAAATTCTCTGGGCTCTGACACTTGCTAAACAGAGGGAGAGAAGGAGGTGGCGGATTACAGTTCAGTGACTTTCCTCTTTTCCACCCAGCAATCTGATTTACCTCTGTCTCAGGTCAAGAGGAGCGTACCAGATTGGTGGTAGTTCAGGTTTCCTCAGGGTTTGTCATGGGCGCTTCTACCAGGGAATTTTGTGGTAATAAAATTTTACTGAATGGCGAGCTAAGAAGACCAGCCTGTACCCCAGGCAGTCTACGCTAGGTGTTCACATACACTGGAGACTCCACCTTGCTTCTCTACCCTCGCATACACGGCATCAGTTGATAGGTGGTCAGCTGGGTGGCCAAGAAGAATAACAGGAGTAAGAATGGCTGCTACCGGTGTATAACCCATGTTCTGTGCCAGACATCACTCTAAGATGTGTGTGTGTGTGTTTGTGTGTGTGTGATTTGCTGGGTGTGTGGTCCGGGAATCAAACCTAGGGCCTCACACGTGCTGGACAAATACTTTACCCCTTGAGCTACACCCCCAGCCCATATATGGTTTTGATGTAATCCTCTCATAAATTCTTGGGGGTAGATACATTATAGTCATCTGATGAAGAAACTGAGGCAAGAATAGTTGAAAGGAGTGGTCCAGGTCACTGTGGCTAGGGTTGAGCCCTCCTGCCTAGGTGGGTTTTTTTTTTTTTTTTTTTTTTTTTTTTTTTCTCCGGTACCGGGAACCAAACTCAGGACCTTGCGCTTGCCAGGCAGGCACTTTGCCGCTGAGCTAAATCCCCAGCCCCCTAGGTGGGTTTTTTTCTTATCTGCTACCCTGAGCCCCTCTGAGGGGAGCTGACAATCCGTTAGGTGGAGGAGGAATGCTGCCCGAGGCTACAACACTTCTAGGAGTCCCTCAAAAAGTTTTCTTTTAAAATTAGGAAAATGAAATTTTAGGTAGAAGAAATCATTTTACTATATACTATTAATAATATACTTACCCTTTTACAAAAAGTTATAAAATATATTTTAAAAGTATCTGTATAAAGGGAGAGGTCCTTGAAGGCAAAAGTGCCTCAGGCACTCAAGAGTCAGACTGTGACCCTCCCTCAGCACACAATTCATGGGGCAGGTGTGCGTGTCTGGGTGCATTTCAGAGGATGCCGTGTAACTTTCCGCTTGTTGCTGTCAGGAGCCTGAGCAATCACTGGGTCAGAATCAGTGAAGGAGAAGCTCCTGGGGCACAGGTGGGTAAGCGATGGCCACAGAAGAGCCGGGGCCAGAATTTTGATTTCTCGTGTAACATCTGTTGTAAAACCGAAAGCCTGTGGGAGAAAGCAGAGCTAACTTTAAGGAATGGCAGGTGAAGTCCTGTCACATTCCCAGAAAACCTGGCTTGGAGCAGACTCCTATGACACGCAGCATCCCCATCACGGTGCTCCGTCCTCAAGGCACCTTTGAGGAGCAAACTGAACTTCCTGCGCCCCGGTCTCTGCATCTACTGAGCCCATCACCAGCTGCCTGGCCAAGCTTCTCCCACTGGAAAAACCTCGACTTTGGGGAAGCAGCAGGGAAAGGAGGTAGCTCCTCCAACAAATGTGCTAAGCCCTGAGGCTCTAAGGAGCTCAGTTCCTAATGCAGGGTGGGGTCACACCCCCTTCCCTGGCTTTCCTGCAGGTCCAGCTGTCACTTGGATGAAACCGGAAGGAGAACACACAGTGAGGTACCAGGGTTCCATGCCCGCATGTGGCCATAGACAAAATCTGCGAAGCTCTGCATTGTGGGCACGTGGGCGAAGGGCCTGGCCCAGGAGGGGGCTTCCCACTTGTGGTGTCAGTGGGCTTTGTCACCTACCCCGGAAACACCTGGAGATGGCTTAGTGCTTCGGAGCCTTCCTTGTAGGTGCACCTGAGAGGCCACATTTTCCTTAGTGCCTGTTCCCATCGTATTTCTTTAAGAGGAACTTTCTTGTTGATTGTTGTTTAAAATAATTGATAGAGAGGAATTCCCCTAAGACCAGATAACCCTGGGATGACCTTTTCAGACCGGGAGGAAAAAAAGATTAAAAATCTATCAGCTTCCTAATAATCTCAGGGATCAGTTGAAGCGCAAATACCTCGTTTAAGCGACCAGCTGCCTGATTCAGTTGTGTGCCCTGGTTAGAACTGCAGAGGCCCCACTGCAGGGCTGAGTTTTTAAAAATAAATTTTAAGGGCTGGGGATTTAGCTCAGTGGCACAGTTCCCGCTTGGCAAACGCGAGGTTGTGAGTTTGATTCCTGGTACCGGAAACCCGCGCCCCCACCAAAAAAATTTTAATTTTTAAAAGTTGTGTACTTTAAGTTTATATGTTTTTGCCAATTGTACCTCAAATAGGGCTGAAAATAAAACAAAAATTTGGTGAAATATACATAACACAAAATCCAGTATTTGAACCATTTTTAAGTGTACACTCAGTGACACAATATACCTTCATATTGTCCAATCATTTTCACCCAGGTATTTCCAAAAATTTTTCATCTTCTCAAATTGAAACTCCAAGCCTTTAAACAGTAAATCCCTAGTATTCCTTAAGAAGCCTTTGGAACTCATTATTCTACTTTCTGTCTCTATGATTTTGAATATTTTAGGTACCTAAGTATACTAATACAGTTTTTGTTAGCTTTTGTGATTGGTTTATTTCATCTAGCATAATGTCTTAGAAGTTCATCTGTGTTATAGCATATTATGTAGTATTTTTTTTCTTTCTGAGGCTGAGTACCATTCCATTACATGTTTATATATTTTGCTTATCCATTCATCCATGGATGGACATGCAGGCTGTTTCAACATTTTGACTATCGTGAACAATGTTGCCAAGAACATGAATATACAAATATCTGTTTGAGACTCTGCTTTTGATATCAAGAAATAAAACTGCTG